GGCGGGGTCGCGAACGCTCTCTGCTCGGGAGCTTTGGCCCGGAGTGACAGCCTGACGCTTGCTATGTTGCCCCTCTTCGCTGTAGAAATATTGTAGCCGTGCAAACCGCTTCGTATATGTTTTTTCTGCCTTAGAAAGCTGCGATTTGAGGCTTGTTTTTTTTGTTTGTTAATCGTGGGAGTAGAAAACGGGTGAGGCAAAGCACTGGATGTACGTGTGGACCATGTAAAAACGTGAGCACGTGGAGAAGAGAGCTTAGTATTGTATAGAGAAACATAACTGAGACTAATAAGGCAAAAACTGATGATAGGAAGCCCGCATGTTGAAAGATGGGTGAAATCTTTTTGAAAATGTTCATGAATTTGCTATAGTTGTTCTTGAATTCAAAAGTAAGAAAAAGTGGGGCTGTAACACCATCATGTCACAATTCCTCTCTATTTAAATCCATTAGCACCTAAACATGTATATACCAATCTGCCTCATCACCACGTGAGATCTTAAAAGGTTTCTCATCCATGTCATTGTGTCTGTGAAGCATTTAAATGAAGTGAAAGTGTATCCACACTTTGATGGAATTACCCCAAATAAACAGATTCCTGTGCATGAAGAAACTCTGAAATGTCTAATGCATATGGATGAAGTTAATAGCAATTTTATAGTTGAGATACAAATGCAAAGAAAGCTGTCAGTCGTATTGGCAGTTGGTAGTGGCGTGAGATAGAATCATAGGATGGTTTGGGTTGGAACGGACCTTACAGATCGCGGAGTTCCAGTCCCCCTGCCATGGGATGCTGCTGTGGTGATGTAGCTCATCCAGCTTGCTTTTACAGAATGGTAAGGTGAGGTTTATTACATAACATTAAAATCAAAACGCTAACAAAATACCTTCCTCGTGCATTTCACTGTCACTTTCTGCCATTAAGAGAAGGAAGACTTATCTGGAACAGCTTGAATGGATGTGGGTTTTGTTGTTCTGTAATTTTTTTATAATGTATTGAAGTACTATTAATGCTTTAATCAGGGACTTATACAGCATCCTGTATCCGACTGGAAGAAATTTTGAAAGATGCAGAGTTCCCATAAATTCTCCTTGTGACATTTCTCTGCCCTTTAGCCAACTTATGTCACTGGCATTCTTGCTCTGGATTGCAAATCCACGTTGAAAAAGTTTTACATGTACACCTTCTCTTTCGTGTCTTTTGTGCCAAATGCAACATAGAGCAAACTAATTTCAAGGCAGTTTGTCCTCTTTCGTTCTGATGTTCTGTTGCCATAATGGTGTGGAGTGTCAGGAGAAAGCAATTAAGACAAACCCCGTTCTTTCTATATTCTCTGAGTAAGCAGTAACGGTAAAGATGTAAAAGAAAAAGCATACAGCTCTGACTTAAGTCTCTGAATATTGTGTATTGTTAACTCAAACAGTCTGTTCCCTTAGGAAGTTTTTCCTTTCAGAGCACTAAAGTCGCAATGGTTTTAGTAAATGATTTTAGTGTATGTATCTGCTAACAGATACTGTCAGTGTTGAACCTAAAAGCATAAGCATTGATTCACCCACACGTTTTGTTTTGTTAGTGCTTTTGCCGTATCTTCCTTCTGTAGGGTTTCTTTTTGCCGTCATAGCCGTCTGTTCATGAGGAAGTGTGTCTGCTGTTATAACTTAGTTACATTAGTCGTGCATTTTTAATTCTCCCAAAGGTAGGTAATTAAATGCTGGTTAGTTTCTTTCATAAAAAGGACTATCAACACAAGATTAAGGACTGCAGCAAGTTGATAATACTGATGTGTAGGGTTGTTTTTTTTTTTGCAGGGTTGAGGATGCGAATGCATCCGAGAAAAGTGTAAATGAAGAAAATGGGGAAGTATCAGAGGCAGACCAACCTCAGAACAAGCACAGCCGACACAAAAAAAAGAAACACAAACACCGAAGTAAACACAAGAAACATAAACATTCTTCAGAAGAAGATAAGGACAAAAAACATAAACACAGACACAAACATAAGAAACATAAACGGAAAGAGGTAGCTGATACCTCTGACAAGGAAGATGGACCAGCTAAAAGAACTAAAATTGATTTTTTAGCTCCTCTGGAAGACTTGGAGAAACAAAGGGCATTATTGAAAGCTGAACTTGAAAACGAATTAATGGAAGGAAAAGTCCAATCTGGGATGGGATTAATATTACAAGGTTATGAGTCAGGATCTGAAGAAGAGGGGGAGATCAATGAAAAAGCGCGAAATGGGACGAGACCTACAGCTAAGTCAAACACTAAGGGGAAATTAGAACCTGTGGACAATAAAACTAGTTCCAAGAAAGGAAGTAAGAGTGAATCAAAAGAAAGGACTAGGCACAGATCTGACAAAAAGAAAGGCAAGGCAGGAGTTGATGGAATCAAAGAGAAGACAACTAGAAGCAAGTCAAAAGAGAGGAGGAAATCCAAAAGCCCTTATAAAAGAAGTAAGTCTCAAGATCAGACAAGGAAATCTAGGTCTCCAGTGCTGAAAAGGCGATCTCAGGAGAAAAACAGAAAGTCTAAATCTCCCCCAGAGGATAGAAATAAGGCTGATGATAAAAGTAAATCAAGAGATCGCAGAAAGTCTCCAGTTGTTAATGAAAACAAAAGCAGAGATCGTGCTAGAAAATCTAAATCTCCAACAGAACTAAGAAGCAAATCCAAAGATAGAAGATCACGGTCCAAAGATAGAAAACCTAGGAGATCAGAGACTGACAAAGAAAAAAAGCCAATTAAATCTCCTTCTAAAGATGCTTCTTCAGGGAAAGAAAACAGGTCCCCTAGACGACCTGGCCGTAGCCCAAAAGGAAGAAGCTTATCTCCCAAACAACGGGAAAAATCAAGAAGAAGCAGATCCCCTCTCTTTAATGATCGTAGATCGAAACAGAGTAAATCCCCCTCTCGAACCCGCTCTCCGGTTAGAAGAGTGAGGAGTAGGTCTGCAGAAAGGAAAAGAAGAGAATCAGAAAGGAGGCGTCTTTCTTCTCCCAGGTAACTTAAAGATGTCATGAACCTTTGCAAAAACATGTTGCAGGATGAACTGTCTTCTAGTTTGATGTTTATCACTTGTTTTTTTCTGAAAATAGCTATTGAAAAAGGTAGTTGGATTGTGTGTTATATTATGACCTTACTTTGTATGCATTCAGTTTTTAAAAAATACTCCCACAGCTGCCAGACATGCAAATTCAGCTTTGCTGGTTGAAGCGTTATTTGCTGCTCACACCATTACTGGGAACAAGTTTTGTAGCTCCGGTTCTCCTTTTGTCACTTGTTTGGATTCAGAATTTGACTTCTATTTTATTTCTTGGTTAATAGTTCTGTTCCTTCCAGGAATTTCTGTGAAGTGAGAGTTCCCTCCACGCTTACATATCAGTGTTGGCTAAAAGTGGATAATTAACCCATTTTCCACCTCAAAAAAAACCCTAACGATAGAGTCAACATGTATGAATGTAAGCAAATCTTTTATATCAAGATGCCCTTCTCACAGTCATTTTTTTCTCACAAATATTTTGTATTTTTCTTCTGCTAGAAGTACGGTAGTGTTGCTTCATTGTTGGTCTGTGGTATGTCATTACCATATTTTGCGTACACTTAAAGGAGAAAGACTAAAATCTTTATAATGTATTTTTAGTCTTGGGCTTTTTTAGCCTATGAAAGCAGTTATCTTGAAATTTAATGTAAACTGTGAGACAATAATTACTAGCATCTCCTCTGAAGCTGATAAGGGCTGGATAGTAAGTTCCCAAGCAGAGAACAATAGGAGTGTATGCATTTTTGGAAGTTAATTCATTAAATGTGAGAAGTTCAACAGGCAGAATAGTTCAGCATTACTTTTGAATAATGAATAATTTAAACCATTTTACCCTGGGAGTTTAGCTTCCCCCAGTCCTAGAATTAAGAGCAAAGAAGTATGAATTTAAAACTGCATATTAGAACCACAAGGATCTGGCTCAGTAAATAAGCACCTAATAAACACGGAAGCCTTTCTGCCTGCATCACTGAAGGTTCCTCTGGTTTCCAGTACGGGGTATCTTCTGCAGGTGCGTTATCAGCTTATTTGTCTGTGCTGCTGCTTAGCAGTACTGCAGGTGCTTTGGAGGATGGCCCCAGTGGTGTTAACCAGATTAAGCAAGCATTGCAAACATTAGGAGTTTATCTGACTGCTTTCTGGTGAATCAGGAATGTATCGGCGCAACCACTAAGTTTCTTTCACATAGTATTTGACTTTTCTTCTGTGGCATTTTGCATTTTTCAGTTTTCCTTTCTCATGACAGCTTGCATTGCAGCCAGTTTGAATTAGTTATCTAGACACTGTTTCAAGTGATGCATGTGTCTAGAATTTTGCTGTCAAATTCATGCTTCTGTAACACCATGAGCAGCATGTGAGTGGGGGACTACTAAGAAATATTTTCTGCTAGAAGTATTTGCAAATCAGTGGGAATCTTTCTTTGTGGGACACCTTGAACTAACCCCTACTATGCTGGAGTTTTAACTACCTGTGATTACTGATGCTGCCAGAGAATTTCAGGAGCTTTAACGAACAGTTTTAACAAAAAAAAATTGTCAGCTTTTTTATTTTTCGTGTTTGTTTCCAGTGTTCTAATCATGTAAGACACTTCTCAGGCCTTTGACTGAAGTTACTCATTATATGACATTACTAACAATTTTTAATCAGCTTCTACTTTTATCTCATACCTGTGATCCCTGAACTGATTTAGTTTTTTTTACAGTTATTTTGATTTGGTTTTGGCAATACAACTGCTTTGTTAGCCAGGAAACCTGGAACTGTCAGTTCATCCTGTGACTTTTTTTTTTTGTAATATTGTTCACAAGAACATTACATGAATTACATGCATTAAAGGGATCAGCCTTCTTCAGCATTTGAGTCTGCAGTAATTTTTTGTAGAAACTGCCAGTACTTCTGCATGGGCGTAAATTTTCCTTCTGTCCCGCTGTTTATTATTTTGCATCACTTCTGTGTGCCTGGTCATTATACGTAGCTAAGGTAACTGAAGCTGATACAACAGTCTCAAAACAAAAAGCCATTACAGAGTGGGTGGAATTAATCTTTGAGACCCAAGAGATTTTGTTCATTGATGAGAGATAACACCTGAAATAGCTTGTCCCAATTTGATTTAAAAAAAAGAAAAAAAGGGGAGGGGAACTGAAATAGAGTAGCAACGTTTTCTTTCGACAATGATGTGGAAATACTGTCCAGAAATTTCTGTTGCAGCCTCATTAGAACAGTTGTTAAATATTTTAAACTTCTATCCTTTGCAATTTTTGATAGAACTCTTGCTGTCATGGAATACAATTGAGCTTTTTAATGTAGTTGTCCATCATTTTTTTCTTGAATAATTGTGAATCTGTATAGACAGGAATGAACAAATTTGAATAGTATATAGAGTCAAACTTGAATTATTTTTTGACAAGGCTTAGTTATACATGTTAGTTAAGAATTTGAGTTTTCACCTGCTGTATTAAAATGTGTGAAATGTTGAAGCCTTCCAGTTCTAGTCCCCAAATTAAAATAGACATTAAAGTAATTGCTGTGGAATAGCATGGTCCTAAATTTCAATACTGTGTTGTAAAGCTGCTGAGAAAATTCTAAAGAATTAGTTTTTGGATTTTATTTATTGTTTAAATACTGTTTCTGATAAACATGAAATCATGCCACTATTTAGGTAAGACTTAAGCACAAGCTTTGTTTTAAAACCTCTCTTAGCTTTGTGGTAGTAATTAACAAGCTCTATTTCCAGAGTTGTCCTGAACTAGACCCGTGTATGGGCACGTATTTCCCAGGGTGGGCAGACACACGGAAGAAGGGCAGCCAGCTCTGCAGCATACTTATCCATTGCTCCCTCCCTCAGAAGCCCATCTGGTGGCACCTCACCTGCAGTAGGATTTTAAAGTGAGCTTTTAGAGGGAATTGTGTGTTTTGTTTTCAGCTTGCTCCTGATTTTACTACCATTCTCTTCCTATAGAACGCGGACCAGAGACGATATTTTGTCTAGACGTGAAAGATCAAAAGATATTAGCCCACCCAGTAGATGGTCCCCATCCAGAAGAAGGTCTCGGTCCCCCATTAGAAGGAGGTCTCGTTCACCCCTTCGACGTAGCCGATCTCCAAGAAGGCGGAGTAGGTCTCCACGGAGGAGGTAAAGACACACTGCATTTCTTAATATATTGTGTAAAACGTTACTAAAAGAATAAAGATTGCTATCTTATGTGTAAAAAGCTGATGCATTTTTTTGACCGTATTTATGTATGCTAGCATAATTGGATTCATTTTGTCCTTTATGAATTAATTTGTTCTATTACTTGGAGTCATTATGTACCTTTGTGTTTTATGGATAGGTTTTCCTCCTGATCTTCAGAAAACCAAACTAACCCAAAAACCCAAACACCTCTTATTGTTACCAGGGATAGAGGCCGAAGAAGTAGATCTCGCCTGCGAAGGAGGTCCAGGTCACGTGGTGGCCATAGACGTAGGAGCAGAAGTAAGGTTAAAGAAGACAAATTTAAAGGTAGTCTGTCTGAGGGTATGAAAGCTGAGCAGGAGTCTTCATCAGATGAAAAGTAAGAATTAATTTCTAACTTGCGCTGGTTATCTAAAAATACAGATCCACTGATGTGGAGAATGAACTGACATTTATCTTCATGGTGTAGTTTTTGGGTTGTCACCTAAAACCTTTATCATATTTCAGTACTTGTGATCTTGTCAAATTACTGTTGGAATGATCTGGAAAACTTCGGAGTATGCAAGAAATATCAAGACCTGTTGGGTAGTGGGCAGACCTGGGGGGATATGTTGTTCAGTTTCTAAATTCAGCTTGATCAGTATCTTTTGAAAATACTTGGTCTGTTTCCGCAAGCGTATTGCTGGAGAAATAACTGTAACAGCTGAAAGGATTAATTGCTATCTGCAAATTTTTTTTGTATTTGCTAAATACCTGCTTAATCCAATTGCATGAAAGTATGCATTCTTAATCAAATTACCAAGGAAGAATGATACCGGAATGAAATTGAACAAGGTCTTTTTTAGTTGTTGTTTTTCTCTTTAAAAGCAGTTACTGTTAGGTGTTTGCAGTTAAAAATGAAATACTCAAAGTCCCAGTGAAATAACAAAAGATAAATTTTATCTGTAAGGAGATGTAAATATACACATTGGGATTTAATACACTTTTGGTTTGTGAGTTACTTGAACAGCTACTGTTTAATATATTTTGTGCTTTCTACACCAAAGATTTGCATTTGGTAAAATTCAGTAGCTAATCTTATGTTTGTGATGTTACATAAAAAGTAATTACATTTTTATAGTCTTGAAGACTTTGATTTGGAAGAAGAGGATGAAGAAGCAGAGATAAGACAAAGAAGATTGCAGCGGCAAGCAATTGTTCAGGTACATGGTTATATTATCATGTGGGCTACAGAAACTAGTTTTATTCTTTTAGTGTAAAATGTGATAAAGGAAGACTCTTAGCCTAATACACCTTATGATAGTAATTACTATTACTACATTTTTTCCAATTAATTTATTGTAAATGTTAGTCACAAGTAAACTTTACACTTCTATTGCAACAGCATTGCTTTTAAGACTGAAGCAACTCTTCTCTGAGTCGTTTTTGTGCTACGGTTGAGCGTTCTCTGGCAGTCCTATGACATGTTAAAAATGATCTGCAGTTAACCTAGTCTGTAGGTTTTCTTTATAGCTGTATCACTGGTATCGTAATGTCAGTGTTGCGTTAAGTTATGTATCAGTTAACCTAGGTGGTCAGATTGTTTCAAGCAGAACTTGTCTGTCTCCAGAACTTCGTAAAGCCACTGACATGGGTTCCTTCTTCATGAAAGTAGATAATGTGTGCAGTTACACATGTGACCTTCTTACTCCTGGTAAGAAGGTAACAGTAGCGACAGTAATATGCGATTGAGAGCCCTGAAAGGGACCGGTGGCCAAAGGGGATGTATTTGTACAGCACAAGTTGGGTATCTTGTTTTAAAGTTGGGATTTGGCACAGTTAGAACATAGTAAGCTCAGTGCTCTAGCATATTTACTTCATGTTTAGTTATAAAAACTCCAGTTATAATGTGCTGCTTATTTTAAGCAGCATTAAAAATACTGTTAGTCATTTGACTTTTGTGCAAAGCCCATTATAAAATCCTTCAGAACTATGAGTGAGCAAAACCATATAAAATAAATTATTTTTAAAGGCTGGTTACACCTGCTATTGGTCCATGCAGGAAGTAAATTCCAGAGCTTCGTTCCCTAAATGGGAAACATCTGCTTGTATTATTGAATAGTTTGACCTTGATAACTGAGTGGTATCAGCGTTTATTCAGTTTGATTTTTAACTTTTGGGAGAGGAAGTGACATTTGTAGAATTTCATACTGCTTGAGTTAAAATAATTTGTAAAGGTGCTGTCTTGAACTTTTTAAATGCATCTGAAATTTTGCAACAATAATGAATGAATAAACAGGATTTCCAATTAAAATAAAAAAACTGAACTAAAAACTACTTTTCTGTTCCATAACACTAATAAAAAAGGAAAAGATTCTAGGATGTAAGATCATTAATTTTTCATTAAAGACTTTATTTCACTACTTGTGTGCCAGAATGGTTTAGTAATAAATCTGTTGGTACTGACATTTTGTGACACACAGCAACATACTTAATCTTCAATAAAAGTCGCTTTTTACAGAAATCTGAAAGTCTGCAGGACATGCATGAATTTTTCAGTCTTATTTTATGGTCTGGGCTGTGGTGCATTGTCGCAAAAGGAGTTTTAGAAAGCTGTATCCCATTCTGCAAATAACCTGTTGCCATTAGAGATGTAGGTGATTGTGAAAGCGAAGATTAAGGTTTAGCAAAAAATGTTAGAAGAGCGAGTATAAAAATGTTTAAATTGTGATAAGCTGTGATGGTGAGATTAACAGTTAGATTTCTTTTTAGAAATACAAAGGCCAGACAGAAGACAGTAATATATCTGTACCATCTGAACCAAGCAGCCCTCAAAGTAGTACACGTAGTCGCTCAAATTCGCCAGATGACATCCTAGAAAGAGTGGCTGCTGATGTTAAGGAGTACGAACGGGAAAATGTGGACACATTTGAGGCATCAGTAAAAGCCAAGCACAACCTCATGACAGTTGAACAGAACAACGGTAAGAATCTGATATCTCACTGTATAGTGCAATTTATGAAAGCTCAACTCTTAAGCAGGGCACTTCAGAAGAGACATTTTGCTTACTTTCCTTATATACTTCCAGACCTGGAAGTAGATTGACTTTTTGGACAGCATTTGAGAATGTTTCTGCGGATGTTATGGTACTTATAACATCAAAATAAAGCTTGCTCGAACTAAGAAGGATCGTATGAATGGAACATGCTCTCTATATTTCTAATAACTCTTAACACAATTCATGCTATCCCCTTGGAAGAGCAAATAACAATGTCTGTCTTTATAGTTAAGAATCACCCTTTGTAACTTCTGTTTTGTTTTGGTTTGTTTTTTACTTATGCATGTTGTTTTCGTAGAAGCTTAATATAGTCCTAGTCTTTATTTTGGGGTGGGTTGGAAACCGTGCCCCTTTTGTCCCTTTTTTTGGTCAGAGCTACTGTGTTAGAAGAACATAGGTGGATCTGTGTCTGCAGTAATTTGAACGATTAAGCCTTTGAGAGTCATTGCTAGTAAGTCCATTTTGGTGGCATAACTTCTTGCAGTGCACCCTCTAGTACTGAAAATCTGCTCTTTTTTCTTTTTGTCTTTTGAAGGTGGATTACTGTGCGTCTTCCAGGTAGTCAAAAGGTGTGACTTAGTTGCTGTGTTGGCTTGAGCTAGTTTTAACCACTTCGGTTTCTCTTTAGAGTTTAATTGCAGCAGCAGGCTGTTTAACAAGGGCTGTGAAACCTGCCCAACCCCTCAGGAAATGGTTGGACAGTTAGCTTGTACTTCATGTCACGCGCTAGATGTATCCTTGGGGGCTAAATATGCTATCTTCTAGTGGATGCTTCTCTTTGAAGTAGTAAAGCTGCATCTCTTTGGGACTGGTGTACTGCTCTGTAGTTTGTCTGGGTGTTCCCTGGAGCAGTTCTTCTGCAATGTAGGTGGAAAGAACTATCTTAGGCGCTCTTCCTTTATCTGCATACCACAAGTTCAGACTTAGTCTTCTTGTATGTAACCGACAATATCTTTCTCCTTTTTTTGTCAGAGGCATATACTGCCTTCTAACTTTGTCCCCTAAAGTATATGAAAATACAACTGTCAACTACATAGACTTTTTTTAAGATATGAAAAAGATCTGTTACACTCAAATCTGGGAATTTTCATATATTGGTGGGATTCTGAGTTGGAAGTGGCTGTGTAACAACAGGTGGAAGCAGTGGATCATCTTTTCTTTGTAAGACCCATTTTTTATTTATATCCTGACCTCATACAGAGGCAGGATAGTAAGTTGCGAAGGAACTGGTTAATAACTCATTGTAGCCCAGTGCAAGTGTGAGTAACTGGAACCAAAGAGAAAGACTGAGGAAGTTGCTGGAAGGGTCTGTGTCTTGAAAAAACAGTATAACCTGTCTAGTGTCAGGTGACAGGTCTGTACATTGAAACAGTGGCGTCAGCACGATGGATGAGAGTTTTTGATGCTGTCAGGAGATTGCAGTCTAGTTATTTTGTGTGAAAGTGGTTGGCTATATGTATCGTGAAACCTGAAGAATCTAAGGTGAACTGTTTATTTTTCTCTATCGCTTAATACCCTGAAGGGAGTGTCTGTGATTTACCGTGGTCATGAAGGGATGCTATGAGAATGTGTTATGAAATAGTTTGAAGTCTACTTGCTCTTACTAATGTGTACTTCATTTATGTTTCTTTGCTTTTATCTTACCAACCAAGTAAAATGTCTTTGGGACTTTAAAGATGATTGAAAGGTGAGAAAGGGATAATCTTGCTCACATTAAAAATGTTTCTCTTAAGCATGATAGTTAACATTGACTGAAAGCTACACACGAGGTCCTTTTTGACAGGGTTGAAGAAAATACTTTCCAAAGAAAGAACTTGTGCGCTTTACAGCTTTGTTTTTTAGCAAAACACCTTGTGATTACCAGAAAAGCCTGAACTTGCATACTGAAAATGCGTCTGTATTTCTTTATGTATACACACAGTCATTTTGTATTTCTTTTTATAAATATATAGTCATTATCTGTAGGGATCATGTAAGTATGAACTTCTTTCTTTCTGCTGTGTGAAAGATTTGAAAGATATTGTACTTAATTTTTCACGGAGGTGTAAGTTTTTGAGTGATCTGAAGAACTTCTCCAATCTGAGTTTTGTATTTCTAGAATGGAAAATGGTATTTTCTAGAAACATTAGCAGAGCTGCCCGTTTCAAACATACTGATCTTAGATTATACTGTAAAGATACCAAGTCATGAATTATACTGGTAACAGACTTAATAGTTTGTCGTCTTTTTCTTGTTGAGTAATCTAAATTTTATTTTAAGGTTCAGCTCAGAAGAAACTGCTAGCTCCTGATATGTTCACGGAATCAGATGACATGTTCGCTGCATACTTTGATGTAGGTAATTCTTGGAGACTAAATGTATGATTCTTTTTTCTTGGTTTTTGTTAGTTACTGTAGTTTGAGGTTTGTGGGAACTTTGCTTTGTAAAAGCATGTGTAACAGTGGATGGTATGTTCTGAATCTTTGATCAGCCAAAGCACAGTAATTCTTAATTAATGTTTCAGTTAAAAAAAACATGCTGAAATTAGTGGGAGTATTATCAGAGTAAGCAATCGGGGAATTCACCTGCTGTTTGAGTAGGACCTATAATGGCACACAGTAACAAACCTATTTATAAGTTAAGCTTTATGGTAATGTTGCCATGCTGCACTGTGCTAATACGTGCTTTTTTCAGAGGTTCATGTATGGTTAATTAAAAACTGTCTCTGTAAGACAGGTTACTTTGCTGATGATGCTGTGTTGGAGTAGTGTGGTTTGTTTGGTGGTTGGGTTTTTTTTTTTTTTCTTCTGAGTGAAGAGATACATTTCCTGATTCTACTTTTGCACTGTTCCAGCAGCCTTTCTCTAAATGTTCTGAAGTGGCCTGCATATGTTGGCAGTCCAGTGACCAGTTGTGAGACTTTACTTGCCATTCTTTGTAAATCTGCCTCACTGTTGCTGATGCGCAACACTGAGAGAATAAGACAACAACTTTCTTTTTAACTTAGAAATTCTCCAGTTAATACGCGTTCATGGCAGACGTGATCTATTAGTTATGGCAGAAGCATTGGTGACAAAAGGCTGCATGGTGTCACTCTAGTGACACTGTTAATTATAATAGTAATGAAAAAATCAAACACCCTTGGACCTGGCATAAGATAAATACTTGAAGGATCGTGTAG